TTAAGATAGCATGAGGAAAGAACATCTCTATGCCTACATGTCAATATGTAGGAAAAATCATAAATGTCACCAAAACTGGGTAGCGTGAGAAAATGCACCTCTAAGCCTGTATCTCAAGTACGTATGTCAAATGTAATGCATCTTAGTGATGAACTCATGTACTCACACTCTCAGAGTACTCAATCTACTTGTCTCGTAATCTCACTCACAATGCTCGACACTCAGTCACTTAGTACTGTACAGGGCAGATCCAACCCAATGCAAATGAACCAGGGCATACCCAGCCCCAAATGCAAATAAACTAGGGCAGGTCCAGCCCAAATATAAGTAATTGCTAGAAACTACGCCCTCTATGGATGTGCAGATTCCTGAGGGGCCGATCCAGCCCAAGCGCTATAATAAGCCAAATCCTAGCATGGATCAATAAATCATGTTGCGGCGTGCAGCCCGATCCCATCAATATCTCTCACAACAGGCCCTCGGCCTCACTCAGTCATCAATCTATTTAGTCCCCCGGGCTCACAACACTCATGCTAAGTAGCCCTAATAAGTGATATAAGATGTGACAATATACGATAATAGATATTGAGATATGATGCGTAAAGATGAATGTGACTGAGTACATAACTACAATTAAGCAAATAACTCAATAGCAAAGAACGATCACTGTGGGTCCCAATAGTACCAGAATATAGCCTAAACATGATTTTTAGCATAAATTACAGTTCAAGTACTCTAACACATAGAGTACAGTAAAAATGTTCTGATAAGATAGCTACACAGTTCCATGGAATCGACTAAATCAAAATTCACAAAGTGCACGCCCACAAGTACGTCACCTAGCATGCGCGTCACCTCAAAATCAATCACATAACATGTAATTCGGGGGTTTCATACCCTCAGTAACAAGTTTAAAAGTGTTACTTACCTCGAACAAGCCAAATCCAATAACGAGCAAGCCAAACGATGCTCCAAAAATGTCATCCCGCACGTACCGACCTCTGAACGGCTCGAAACTAGCCAAAAGCAACTCAAGAATATCAAATAATGCCTAAGGAAATAATTCCAAATAATAAAGGTCGAATCTATAATCAAAACCCCAAAGTCAACTAAAAAGTTAAACACGGGCCCGTACCTCGGAATCTGACAAAACTCACAAAATTCGATAACCCATTAAATTACGAGTCCAACCATACTACTTTCACTCAAATGTGACTCCGAATCGATGTTCAAAACTCAAAAAATTACTTTATCAAATTTTAGACAAAACTCCCCAAATTTCACTTTGAAATCACCAATCAAATTCCATAAATGAAGATGGATTTATGAAATATAACCAAAATCGAGTATAGAACACTTACCCCAATCTATGTGGTAAAAATTACCTCAAAAATTGCCCAAATCCGCGCTCCCCAACTCAAAATATGACCAAATGAACAAACCCTCGATATTAAATATTTTTTGCTCAACTGTTCTGCCTCGTTTCTTATGCCAAATAATCTCGAAACTTACTTTTGATGCCTCCAATGGATTCCTAGTGAAATTTCAGTCAAATTAGACTTTTGAATCACTCCATTTGACCTTATAATGAAGGAGATATGTTGGTTTCAATATTTGAAAATAGTGCAGATTTTTAAAATACGAAGTCAGTGGCAATTTCGTAATTAATCTGTAAAATCTGACAACCCAATTCTTAGTAAAATGACCATAAACTCCTCGTACGATGTTCAAATTCGACGATTCTTTTTGCCATGGTTCCGTAATTATGATAAGGATCTAATGCTTCAATCAAAACAGAAATTGGAACTCATTTGCCTAATATGGTACCATTTATGCTTGAAGAAACGACGTCGAAACATAATTAAAAATGAGCACAACACACCCCAAACCTATGAGAAACTCACCCGAGCCCCTCGGGACCCCGTCCGGACATACCAACAAGTCTTATAACATAACACAGACCTATTCGAGGCCTCAAATCATGCATAACAATATTGAAACGACGAGTCGCACCTCAAATCAAACTTAATGAACTTTTGAACTTTCAACTTTCAAAACCCGCGCCGAAAAATATCAAATCAACCCGGAATGAACTCAGATTTTGCACACAAGTCCCAAATAATATAACGAAGCTATTCCAATTCCCGAAACCACAATCCAAATTCGATATCCTCAAAGTCAACTCTCGGTCAAACTTATGAACTTTCCAAACCTTCAAATTTCTAACTTTTGCCAATTAGCGCCGAAACCTTCTAGAAATATCCAAATGCAAATTCGGGCATACACCCAAGTCCAAAATCACCATCCAGACCTAACGAAACTATCAAACTCTATTTCCGGGTCAAATACTAAAAAGTCAAACTCGGTCAACTCTTCCAACTCTAAAGCTTCAATCATGAAATTCATTCTTCCAAAATAATTCCTAATAACCCGAAAATCAAAACCGACAATTCACACAAGCCATAATACATCATACGATGATGTTCAAGACTTCAAATAGCTGAACGAAAAGCAAATGCTTAAAAGACCGATTGGATCGTTACAAATATTATTATTTTGTTTTTAACTGCTAACATTGGTTAGTTAATTATTTCACGTCGGCTTGCTTAGCAAGTGCATGTTAGGCTCCATCACGACCCAGAAGTTGGGATTTCGGACCATGACAATATATTGCACAGGTTATTGACTAGTGAGTATCATATAACTTGAACCTCATCACTACTTCACCGATGTTTGTCTTGATACTTACTGAGTATACGTTATCCCGCAATCATACTATACTCATGTATATTTTTGTATGGATCTGGGTGTTGGTGGCAGCGGATCTCAGGAGTGAGCATTACTTTTGATAGAGAGTATTCAAGGTAGCGCAGCTTGTACATCGTAGGCCCTTGGAGTCCTCTTCCCTTATCTATTGGTATTTATACATTCGGACAGTATTGTACTATTGAGACATCTCTTGTATCCGATTTTAGAGCTCATGACTCTATACTACCTTGTTCTAAAAATTTGATGTTATGATATCATTTTATTAGCTATTTCTGAAGTTTTATTCCACTTTTAATGTTATTTCAAACATATTATATCTTATTCATTTTTTTGAATTCCTATTGCATGTTGGCTTGCCTAGTCTTGGAGGTAGGTGCCATCACGACCTTTGTTGGAATTTTGGGTCGTGTCAGATATATACTATTAATCATGAGTTTGAATATAGTATTTATTATGAAATTATTTATTCAATCTTAATAAAGTTTTAATTGAACATATATTCGTATTTGTCCTTTGCTTATATAGTAGACGACTTAGTGTATAGAGTCTAGATTATACACAGAAGATTGAATCATCAGTTCTTATAAGTACAAAGTTTGAGTTCACAATCTAATGATGGAATTGGACAAGCCATCAGAAATGTTGTATCATAAAATTAAATGTAATTTATCTTGATTATGAAAGATGGTTTAATTCTGACTTCACGTGCTAATACAATTTGTATGTATTGAACGGACTAAGTAGAGATAAATATTTTATACTGACTTAATAAAATAAATTCTCTAGTCATTAAATGTACTTCTACTCTTAATCTTGATATAATTAATATTAGTTATGTATATTATTTATTATTTTTATTTATTAAAAGGCGAGATTCTTTCATTAGTCAATAGGCCTGATAAGCCTAAAGGAAATAATAAATAAATTAAATTATCATTAATTTAATTTAATTAATTAGTATCTGGATCTTAACATGAGAAGCTAAATAAGATTTGATAGAACAATTGTGAAATTGAACTAAGAAGTGTAATTATAAATTTTTACTAGAATTATTTGTAAAATATTATGGTAGATATAACTTTTAAAAAATTTAAATTAATTCCATAGTAAGAAGCTTTGTAATTAAATTCTATGGTCCTCGTTGTGCCTAAATAATAGAAATATAAAAAATCTTTTCATGGCAGAAAAGAAAACCCAACAGGTTTTGAAAAAAGGTTTTAACCCTTAAAACTTGTGCTATATATATATATATATATATATATAAATTTTTTCACCTAGAGGGAAGGAAGGGAAATTGCCGAATTTTAGGCCATTTGTCTTAAAAAAATCCGCTCATACGAAATTAGTATTTTTTGAATATTATTTAGGTAACATAGAAGAGTATCATGGAACATTTGAGGATTGTAACCGTGCTGATAGTTAAGATTTCAAAGTATTTCTAGGGAACTGGAGACTCTCATGATAGAGAGCTTTATTCATGCCTCAAGAGCTAATATGTGAAACCTCGTACGTGTTATTTATTTATTTACATGATATTGCGGTTGCTCCGATACGGTGGCCAAGTTTCTAAATTTGACATACTAACATAGAATAATTGAATGCGAAACTTGAATAATAAAAAACTAAAACCTTTCATATCTGGCTAATCACATGCCAAATCGTGGATAAAAAAAAATCATAGTACCACAACTTAGGCATACAGAAAAACTAAGAATCACAGGCAAAACGAAAAGTTAAATCTGCCATTAAAACAAGAAATCAAGAAAGATTTTTGGCATAAATTAATAAGGTAGACATGAAAAATTAAATACCATTAAAAATCAACAGACATAAAATTGGCATATATAATTATTTTTGGGTAATTAGGTAAAAGGGGAGATGCTGGTGGAAGAAGAAGTAGCAAAGGAGATGCTGAGTAGGAGAGGCTAAAATAGGGCCGGTAATATAGCATGTTATGTGGCGCTAAAATGTTAGGCAAACGTGAGATGAGGATGACGGTGGGCATAGTGAAGGGGCCCAATGGATGAGAGATAGTTTTGCACCACTTCTATAACGTGGGAATTTGGGGGAGGGGGGTGCGGGGGCTATTAGAGGATATAAATGATTATTTTTGCGTAATAAAAAGAAATTGTTGACTATTTTCCTTCTTTTATTATATATATATAAATATATACAAAAGACTTGATTTGAAATAAATATTATGCGGAAATAAGTAATACCGGCGTACAGCTAATAAATGGACTCCTCGGAAAAATATATTGGAGGATGAATACGGCTCTCTATCTGCATCATTCATTTTATTATCCTCAGAGCGCTAGGTGTAAAGTTTTCCCTCTCATCTTTCCCGCAAACTTTGGCGTGCAAGATTTCATGGTTGGGCCTTAACTCATTCTGAGCAACCACACACAATAAGTAGGGAGTTGATGGCTGTTTCTTTGAATTCCGTTCTAGGCTTTCGCTCAACTGTATGTCTCCTCCTCCTCTTTCTTTTTCCCTGTAATTGTAGACCCTTTTACTTTACTTGTTCCCGGTTCTCACGTTTCATTGCTTAAGTGTTGTATAAATTGCTTTGCTGTACTAAATTACGCCGGTGATTAGTTAGCAAATGAGGTAGCAGAAGCAATAATTCATTTTCCTTAACGTGTAAATGATATATTAGGGATATTGTCATGATTCCACACTACTTAATTAGAAATGAGTTTAATTTTTACTATATGAAACATTGATTGGCAATCTTTAATAAATTATAAGAAACCTCTTATAGCAGGTTAAATTAGAAAAATTCATTACCCTGAAAGTGCATATAACTTAATTCAAGCTTAATTCTTAGCTAATAGACTTAGTGCCCAACATAGCTTGATGGTTCTGGATATGAAGCAAAGGAGTAGGCAAAAAGGAGGAGTTGCAAGCAGCACATAATTAGGAACAAAAAACCAAATAGCATTTAATGACAAGCTATATTGAAAGTCGGATCATGGGACTTAGGAGCGGACACAATACCCAGAGGAAGGAAATGACAACGTACATCAAGAAAGTAGTAGTTGAAGTGCAAAGAGCATTTAAAGTAAAAAGAGATCTAGTGGCACATGAAGTTACCAAAAGAAAAAGATGGAGTAGCTATTGAAAAGCGTAAGAGAGCTAAGAGTGGAGATTAAGAGGATGCAATCAAAGCCTGAGGTAAACCCTATGGGATTTCTGGCAAAAGTTAGAAATGCGGAAAAAGGAGAAAGAAATTTATAAACCAGTATGATTGACAGAAAAGAGGGATCAGCTTAAATTTATTAAAAATGATTCCCAATAAGTTTTGACAGGAGACAGTGAGATCAAAGAGGGATGGAGAGGCAGATGCTATTTGATCGATTGCTCAACTCAAATTACGAGGATAACTTTAAAGATTGATATCTCATTTAAGACAGTAACCTCACTACACTCGTAGAATTAGGTTTGCACAAGTGAAAAATGCTGTGAATATAAAGAATAGACAAACTTGTGCCATATGGTACAATATACATGTATGGGAGTGGCTTGGATAGCATGAAGTAATATGGTTTATTAAGCAAATCAATGTCATTTTAACAGTTGAAAGATGCCAAATTAATGAAGAAAGAGTTCCTTGTTTCGATAAATGAGAACAAGTGAGCTATTTAAAGCTGTATGTATTAACCTAATGAGTCATACGATTAAACATCGGGAAAGGGTGATCGAATGTGGGCAGATTTATGCCTATTAAATCTAAGATGGAGGCTATATTTTTTTCAAGAAAATGATAAAAGTTTATAAGGAATGGAAGCATGATTTCCATTGATATTCATTGACCTACCACATATGATAAAATGTCAAGGAAAAGTTCTTTTGTGGACTCTGAAGAATAAATGCACTCCGATAATGTGCATAAACTTCATAAAGGATATATCTGAGCCATGACATGTGTAAGAATACCAAGAGGAGATATAGAGGAGCTTCCATATATGTGGTTTTACACTGCTTGAGCCCATACCTTTTTACCTTACTTATGGATTAGTTAACCAATAATATACAAAAATGGGGTGCCATGGTGCATGCTATTCACAAACATTGTTGTGCTGATGAAACTAGCAAGGAAAAACTTGAACTGTGGAGAGGCACTATAGCGAGTAAGAGTTTTAATATAAGTAAGACAGATGTTATACATGTGATATTAGATTATACTATGATGCTTAAATGCAAATATTTCTGATATATACACTCAGTCTTTTAGGAGAATAATATAACAGATGGAGATATAACACAAAACTAAAATAGGATGGTTGAAATGGAGGTATGAATAAGGGTTATGTGCGATAGGAGGACCCTACCAAAATGAAAGGCTAGTTTTTATATTATAGCAGTGAACCAACAATCACATATTGGAGTGAATGTTGAGCCTTTAAGGTACAATATATCCACAAGTTAGGATGTGAAGATATGAGCGATCAGACATGATTAGAAATGATCACATCCGACAGAATATGCAAATACCACATATGGAGAGGAAAAAAAGCGAGAAAATTGCTTGAGATAGTCCGTTCATGTTCTACGTGGACCTCCAAATGTATTGGTCAGCAGATGCAGCTCCTCAATAGTTGAAGTGTTAAAATGTGATATGGTAAGTCTAAATATCACTTGAATGGAAGTTTCTTCAAATACTTACTGCTTACAATTTCTAGAAATCCACGTAAGCTTAGTAAATAACCAAATGCAATAATGTGTCCTTATAGGTGAATACTAACTAATTGGGGTAATTGTCATTGACACACCTACATTAGATCCATTGTTTGACATGAGTCTTTCTAGTTTGATTAGAGATTGTATGACAGTTTAGTTGCATGTCTGAGAATTGGAGATTCCCTAATTTCACAATAACTTGAATTTGACTTAGCACAAACTATTGAGTAGTGGAATGAAAGGAGCCAAAAGAGAGCGAAATAGATATGGATGATTCATATAATAACCTCAAGTAGTTTGCAATTGAGGCATAATTATTGTTTTTGTTTAGGCTAGGAGTGATGCTCACATTTATTGATTTATGAATTTGGCATCAAATTTATCACAACAATTTATTTGTTTCTTCTCAATGAGAGCTGCAGGCCTACTGCCATCTCTCTAGGAGTGCCTCACTACAGAAGGTTCCGCACTTCCCATCTTCCTTTCAGGTGCTAGGGTTAAGAAGATGCACAGCTGTTACTAAGCAGAGTTTCTTTCTTTTAGTTGCAAAAAATGATCGTCTTCAAACGGAAGTTAATGGTAAGGACTCTGACGTTATTACAACTACTGTAAATCCATCATCCTCTGAATCTTCAAAAACAGAAGGTGAAATGCAGTCCAATGGTCAAACTGAGTCGGTAGTGCAAGCATCCAAAGTTTCAAATGGGTCTGTAACTTCCACAAACTTGCAACAGGAAGCATCTTCCGCCATTCCAAAACCAGCCGTTAAGAGATCTCCATTGACAGCAAGAGAGAAACTTAGGGCAGCTAGGGTCCTCAGCCGGTACAATGAATCAAAGGCCTCTAAACCTGAGCTTGGAAGCAAATTAATTGAGGCCTTGCGAGAAAGTGAGAAGGGGAAAAAGAGATCAGGACTTCCAGAGGCTCCTACGAATTTGTTCGATGATAGCAAAAGAGGGATGCCAAAACCAGGTTGGACTTTTGAGTTTCCAGGAGGATTTGATGTCTTTCTCGTTGCATTTTCATTTATATTTATCAGCACAATTATGTTTGCTACAACTTACATTGTGTGGAAAGTTGGTGCTATCCATTTCAATGAGTACTGATTTAGATGGTTGCTATAGCTGGTTTTCTTCTTGGCTTTTGGGGCATGGTATTGGTCTATCCATCCACGAGAACCCGAGATGAGTAGTTTGTGTACAACAGATGCGTTCCGTGGTGCCAGTTTAAGGTTATTTTGAATTCCAGAGTTCTCAGGTGCGCGGTGCAGAATGGGGTTGCGAAGGCGAACTATAGTTGAATACAAAAATGTAGCTCTTCAACACTGTATTATCTAACCATCTTATTGCCTTAATGTTTGGTTTGTGACTTCATCAATTAAATGTACAGTATCTATTCTTCTTTAACAGGGACTTCACGAGCTTGTATATGTATGGTGTACCAACGAGTGGCTGCACCTTCATGTAAAATTTCAAGCATCTTTATGGTTGGATTAAAGTGCCAAAGGAGAGAATAAGGATCACTATGTCAACTTAAGACGGCCCATCATACCAAATCTAAAATGGAATGAGGTGAATGTGAGAAATAAAGGCACGAGAGAAAAATATTATTGACATTATTTTGTATTACATTAAGGGGTCGTTTGGTAGGAGATATTAGAAAAAATAATGCAAGCATTAGCTTTATGCATTACTAATACCTTGTTTGGTACCTTTTTTCAACTTATGTATAACTAATACATAAGTAATGCATAGAAAACCATGGCATTAGTAATACCTAGGCTTTAATGTATGCATTAGCATGGTTAAAGATAAAATTGTCCTTAAAGTCCCTTAAAGCTAGAGGATATGGAGGGCATTTTTGTAAGCAACTATTTTTTTTTAAAATTATGCAATGAATTATAATTTTAATACACCACACCAAACAATAGATAAGAAATATTATTTGCATAACTAATGCTTGCATTACTAATACACATTATTCCGCACTATTCTTATACACCCTACCAAACGACCCCTGAGTCTTTTTTATATACAAATATTACATAACCCTAATACCTGTTCTCCGATGTGGAACGTTAATATATTACTATATATTTTATTATCTAACACTCTCCTCAAGTTGGTGCATATAAGTCATATTAGTGTTTGGGCACGCGCGTTGCGCGTGTACCCCGTAACAATGAGTATTTTTTTTAAAAAAAAATAGATAAATATTGTTTATAATAATAAGTATCAGTTGCAAAATAAAAGTTAAAGCCAAATTTGATATAAAATGATGACAATGATGAATTTTAATCTTATTTAGCTAACCCAATAAAGGAAGAAATAATAACTATTACAAATTTATATGAAGAATAACAAATTAGCAATTGCCTGCTTATTTTTAAAAATATTTGTTTAAATTGCACAATAGAAATAAAAGCATATAAAAATAAAACATATTTACGTTGGTTTCTTTACTTCGCTCTTTATGGCTATAGTGTAGTTATCTTATAAATATAATATTATATTCACATTAGTGAGAAATCTCACGTTAATAAGATGTTAGAGCATATTTATAATGCGTACCTTAAATCTTACGGTAGAAAAGTTATTTACCAATATGAAGATTTGAGTATCTTACTCAAATTTCTAAAATATTTCTATTGTTAAAAAATAGACAGTTATTCTTTCTACTTTTATAAGGACTTTTTATTTTTTTCCTATGAATTTCAATATTGTCTAAGTGAAAATAAGATAAAAAACCCACAACTAAAAATATTTTTGGGGCCCCAAAATTTAGGGGCCTAAAGCAAAGACTTTATTAGCCTCCCCTTGAGCGGCCCCTAAAGTGAACATGAAAATATGACATTGATCCCCAAATTTCCATTTAAATTTTGGAATTTGTCTCATCTATGAACATTATACTTTAGAAAAAAAGAATAGAACACTAACATTATTATTCGAAATTGAAAATTGAGACAAACGAAATAAAGTAAGAATTCAAATTATATACAAACGAAAATCATTTTCTAACAAGTTATTTTCTTTCTTTTAGAGATAGCTATTTGTTTTGATAAAGTATCTTTCTTAAATATAAAATATTTTCGAAAATTCATGGTAGTCAACTATTAAATTAATGTTGTCAAAGAAATATCATATTTGCCTCTTTTATACCACACGGGAAAAAGAAACCAACAGTAACACTTGAGAGGTAAAGAGAAAAGAAAACTAAAGAAGAAAGTTATATACAAAAACAAAAACAAAAAAGGAAAAAAGAAAAAAATTGAATTAAATATTGGAGGAAGGTAAATGAAACGGTTTTGAACTGGAAATATTGGAAAGAGAAAATAGATGTGGAAGAAGAAGATGTATACAAAAGACACTCTCATCTTGTTAATCAGTGACGTCAACAATATATGTAATCCTCCCAAGTCCAAATTATTAGCACAATTCACATTTTTTAATGATTGCATTGCAAAACAATTTAGATGTTGTTTATTTTCTTAAACTCGGCCTTAAATCTGTTAGCTAGTCGCAATTTGCAAGAAACAATTAATAGATAGGTGACGGGAAGAGTCCATTATTTATATGATCACTCAACTGTTTGAAATTATCTACCAAAGTCATATTTCTTTCGTTTGTAATAATAAAATTATTTAACTATGCCTATAGCACTCAGAAGGTCACTCAACCAAATTTCTCAAACTTTTGACCGTTAAATACCTATTTTACCCTCTAAATTATCAACGTTTATCTTCTCTCTCTTTTTTTTTTTTTTGCTTTTTTAATATTATATGATTTTTTCTCTTTTTAATCAACATTATGGACTTACCTATAGAAAAAATATTTTTTTTAAAAAAAATAAAAAGTATTTTTCTAGCATATATAATGTCGAAATAATAATATAATTGAGCGAATATTAAAGAATATGTATATTAAAAAATACCTTTATTTTAAATAATTTTTTTATAGTACGTGCATGGAATATATATTTTAAAACTTTTATTTTCTTTCATTCTCAATTGTTTAAATAAAATTTTTAGTTTTTGTTGTTAATATCAAAATTATTATTATGAACAAATTTTTCTAATTAAGTTTTTACTATGGTCAATATTTTATTATTCCAACACTATATACGCTTAATTATTATTTTATTTTTTAATTTGTAAATAAAATATGAATTAAAAAGAGAAAAAATTATAATACTGAAAATCTATAAAAAAAAAATGATAAAAGTTGTTAATTTTGAGGGTAAAAAATAGGTATTTGGCAATCAAAAGTTTGAGAAAACTAGTTGAATGATCTTCTGAGTACTATAGGCATAGTTAAGTGACTTTGTTGTTACAAGCAAAAAAAAGATAATTTTGCTAGATAATTTCGGATAGTTGAGTGACCATCTGAATAATGGACTCGTGATGTCTGTTGTTATCCCCAAGCGATATTACCTACCGTAGGACCTCCGTCCCCGAAGCGAAGAAAGAGGAGCAGGAACAAGAGGTTATCCTCTCCCGGCCCAGTAGTTCCGTAACTACTATCGTGGTTGTTGCGCGGCAAGGCCATGTTGTTCAGTTGGAAGCCTAAGCCAAGAAGGTACGAACGAAGTGACGGACCTCTTTAGAAGATAGGGGGCGGCTTTCTTGTGGTAGTAATTGCGAACATCTCTCCTCTTCTCTTAGCGTGCACAGTTTGCTTGCATGCTCCCTTAGGCACGTCGAAAAGAAGAATATTTTCTCGTGGTTATAATTCACAAAAATCAAGAAGTACAGACATCTAATTATGAACTAGAAATCTCCACAGGTCACGTTGGAGAAAATAAGAAGGAGATTAGGAAAAGGTAAAAAAAGGAAATTATAAAAGTCAATTATGAAAAAAAAAATGATAACGTATAAAGATTTCATAAGTATTTACCTTGTAAAGCGCAAGTACAAATTTTAAATGTACACTTAATATCTCAAGACGAGCTTTAAATAAACTCAAACCAAATATTTTGATGATTTACGTCCATTAATATGTTTTTCTATTATTATCCTTCAACAAAAAGGACTACTTTAGAGGAAACTTTGATACACCTTTCAAGACTACCTCTCAAAACAAGAACCAAAAAAATTATCAACATTATCATCTATTCTCGTTCATTTGTGTATGTTTATCCTTGTTCACTTTGAGCCTCTTCAGTGAATTGAACACAGTTACTAACTGACAAAGAAAATAAAAACAAAAAGTAAAATGAGAATTGAAAGTCAAGGAAGAATTCTTTCTCACCGGCTATCAAAAGAGTATTGTACCTTTTTTGTAAAAGTTGCAAGCAATACACCAAGAAATGGATTTTTTTTACAGAAAAAATAATATATGATTTGACATTAAAAAATAAAAAATGAAGGCTAAATTGATTTGAAGTAGATCACTACCACTGTTTTAAAAGGCTTTTCTGGGACTCGCCTCGGGGCTCGCCCCGGGGCGGGGCACTATCAAAACGTCTTGAGACTCATGTGTGGGGCTTAGTTTTCTGAGGCTTACGCCCCTAAGCGCTCGACGGTGCGCCCTAAACACGCCTAACACTCAACGCTCGGGACTCGCCCAACCGTTCCTATATAAATCATGTGTTGAATTCACTAATTTGTATTGTTAACTCTCAAAATTATTTAACAAATGAATGATTAAAGTTATTTTTATCTATAGAAATATGAAAATTGTGAATAACTCAAATAACAAAACATATTATTGCATACATATTTACTAATTGAGAACATCGTAAGGGTGAATATTTCTTCTAAAAATAGATAACCAAAATTTGTATCTTTACATGATAGATCTTCATGTCTTAAATCTGTGTCTCTCAAAATTATCATGCATTTTTTATTTTACTATTTAAAAATAATTTTATATTATTCATGAAAGAGTAATATTTTAAATTACGGTATTGAAAAATTTATTGTGTATTTACTTTTAAAGAGGTAATATATGCAGTTTGATAATATTTTGTAAGAAATTACAATTTTTAATTGATTGAAAGTTAATAGGTTGGAGTTAATTTATATTTCATAGTAACTTTAACAGTAGTATTATTTATACTTGTAAAATATGCTAAATATTTTATTTTATATGAGTTTTTTTAATTTTTTTTTTAGTTTTTTTGAACTTTTAATGCATCTTTTATATTTTATTGTGTTGTAATACTATATTATTAATTCATAAATTTAAAAAATTAAAGATCCGTGGGGCTTACGCCCCATGTTTCGAGGCTTTCGCCTCGCCCCGTATAAAGTAAAACGCCCCGCCTCACGCCCTTGCCTTTTAAAACACTGATCACTACTCTGGTGCACTTTATAAAATCTATGAGAGGATATGAAAAATTTAAATAACGGCTGAAAGCTTAAAAAGGAGAAAATAAATATGGGATGTCAAAAGGTTAGTTCGTCGGTTAAAGTTCTTATCTTTGCAGATC